ATCAGACCTTCCAGTCGCAGAAGGAAGGGTCCACACCTCATTTCTGGGCACACTGCCCCAGTCAGGTACACCGGAGGGGCTCGGGAAAATGATCCTTGGGGAGCGAAGGACTGAACCGCGGATCCTGACAGGCACGGAGAGGGCCCTCAGCTCTGCCCAGGGCAGGCAGGTGACTTAGGAGCAGCTGGCCACAGGCCAGGCCCATTACTGAGTGGCAGACAAGTCAACCTGGCTGAAGCAGGGCCCGGGAAGAGGCCATTCTTCCTCCAAAACGAGAAGCTCTGACAGGACCCAGCCCACCTCCCGGGCGCCACTTGGAGGACCTACAATCCAGTTCTCTACTCCTGGCGGGGCCAGGTCAGTCTGAGCACAGGTGTGACTAAAATGCTTGGGGACAGGAGGAGTGCCGGAGGCTGCGCACAAATTGCTCCAACAGGGAAATGACAGGTCTTCCCATAAAACCATTTTATTTTTCTATCTTCGTGAAAAATCTGTGGTTTTGACATTGTTTCTGAACAAATGTGGCATGGACAATAACATTTTTCCCCTGACAGAAGTTGGAGGGTCATGTACCCCTCTATCTGGTATATACAAACATGCACGTAATGTTCCTGCATTTTAGGCAAGAGAAACTCAAGGCTGCTACAACGGCCCCCTTCTCTCAGTCTCCCGTGTTGGTGTCTAATACCCTTCCTGAGAGTCAGGAAGCACCTTCTGGTCTAGTCCATGCCCCTCCCCGCCATATGAAGAAGGGCAAGTCCTGTAAGTGAGGCCTCAGAGGGTCACACTGCCAAGTCCCTCTGCACTAAAGACGAAAGTAGGTGAGTTGAGTGTGTCTTCATGTTTTGGGGGGTAGGGTGGAGGGCCCCAGAACCTGTTCCTTATTCCCTCAACAAGAACAGGAGCTCCATGATGGAGACACCCGCTCTGTGGCCCTACTAAGTCTCCAGGCCTGGCTGGCTCAGCTCCCCCCAAGTCCTCCAGCCAGCTGTGCCTCAGAACCCCTTGCCCCACTGGATGGAACCAAATGGAACCACAGAGCAGCATCCCACGCAAGATGGCAAATAAGCTGTGGTGTAAGGGTGTTGGGAAACGCCCGGCCTGGTTTCACGAGCTGTAACCCTGCCAACAGGCTGGAGGGCCCCAAGGCTGGAAATAATCAGGGGGCGTTGGAGAAACAGGCTCCTGAGGAGACTCAGCCTGTCCCCCGCTGGCAGGGGCATAGCCCCTGCCTCTCCGCTTTGCCATGGAGGGTCAATTAGCCAATGACGGGTAAGTGACCTCGCACTGAGGTTAACGACCTAAGACAGGCTTATCTGCTGATTTTTGACAGCAGATAAGAAATTAGGGGACACAGAAAAGGGGCTAAAAGGCCCCCTGCACCCCTCAGCTTGGCTTGGACACGGCCGGAGTCATCACTGCAGCCGAGAAGCAGTCTCCTTAACCCTTGGTGGCTCCCTCCCCCGCCTGGCTCGGGCTTGAAACAGTGCAGGAAAAACAGCCCTAAATCAGATCTGGCGGGTCCCAGGGTAATCAGGCCTGAAAGTAAACTCTTTAGAGTGTGCTCTGTTCCTCCCTCAGATCTCTGGTCAGCTCATGCTATGAAGGACCTTTATTTACACTCCTTACCTTGTTAAGACATTTGCTTTATTTACACCTTTTACCCTGTATCTTTAAGGCACCTTTAAGTCTACTTTCCCCATATCTATAGCCTCTATTGTTGATTCTGGTCTCCTCTCAAACCCACGTAAATCAGTGTACTCCTGTCACTTGTCTTGTTAAAAGCATCATATACTCACTGTGAAACTTACCATACTGATGTAATGAGATAACGTATGCATTCCTGTTACATACCCCACTGATATGATTTTCAATAAAAGCCTCGGACCGAAGGACAACAGGGCCTTCCCCACTAAAGGGATGTGCCACAGCCTTCTCTGGGCAGAGGGAAGTGCCCCGTCTGCTCTCCCAGCAAACAGAGAAGTGTTTGAGACTTTTTGTGTTTTATCCTCCTCATCCGTGACAACCCCAGGACAGGCTCTGCGGGTTTCAGAGCCCTGCTCCCACCTCAGCTGGCCCCAGCCGGTTTCAAACCCTCAGGTTTCAGGGAGCGCTGCGCTCTCTGCGGTGCTCCCCCGCGGTGGCGGGTCCCCTATAGCCTCCTCTCGGTGCGACATAAGGGCCAGGCCAGGCCAGGCCAGGCGGAGGGCTCAGGAGCAGGCAAGGCAGGCTCCTGTGGGGGCCGCCTGGAGTCTGGCAGCGCCTGAAACGGAGAGGCTGCCTGGGGTGGAGTGTTCTAGTTTAAACACTAGCTAACTGACATCCTGGGTAAGTTGCTTCACATTCGCCAGCCTCGGTTTCCTCATCTATAATGTGAGGTCACTTATAATTGACCTACATCAATTCTGTGATTTCCTCTCAGTCTAGATTTCTGACCACAGGTGTTGATGAGCTCTGGGTGCCTGGGTTCAAGCCCGGGCTCTGCCCCTTCTTGTGAAATCCACATGAGTCCATTCACCCCTTTCACCACAGCTCCTTATCTATAAAGTAGGAATGAAGAGAACACCCACGCAGGGGGTTCTGTGTAGATTTAATGAGGGCACACTGCACCGAGCAAGGGCTTAGGAAGTGTTATTACTCTGTGAACTCCGTGGCCTCCTGCTGCCATTATCCTTTCTCTGGACTGAATGTATGTGCCTTTCCCCACCCCCCTTCATTTCATATGTTTTAGTCCTAACCCCCAGTGAATTGGTATTTGGAGATGGTGCCTTTGGGAGGTGATTAGGGTTAGATGAGGTCATGAGGGAAGGGGCCTCGAGATGGGATTAGCAGCTTTCTAAGAAGAAGAAGAGAGAGGGATTGTGCCAGGTACACACAGCGAGGCCAGACCATGTGAGGACATAGTGAGCAGGCAGCCATCCACAACCCAAGGAGACAGCCCTCACCATACACCAACCCTGCTGGCATTTGATCTTAAACTTCCCAGCCTCCAGAGCTGAGACAAGTAAATTCCTACTGTTTAAACCACCCGGCCTATGGTATTTTGATTTGGCAGCCCAGACGGACTAATACAATCCCCTTGCTCATAAATGGAGTCAGGAGCAATGACCAGCCATTCCCGCCCCGTACTCTCTGTGTGGGGAGACCCACTGGGACCCCCAAACCTAGGAAAATCAACATGATGCATACTCTGGAGGCCTTGTGCATGGTCTCAAGCACGTGCAGGGTCAGGGGAACCTCGGCATGCCAAGCAGCAGGGCACAGTCACTGCAACAGGACAGGGAGGACAGGCAGAAAGGAGGCGGGCAAGTGGGAGGCCACATGCAGTGAGTGAGGGGCGGGGACCTGATGCAGCACGCAACCAGCAGCCCACGCCGCAGTGCCCGGTTCCTTACCTCCCCTGCAGGACCTCTGACCACCAAGAAGCTGGAGGAGTGCTGGAAAGAGTAGAGAGCAGGAGACAGGGAGCAGTAGGTACCGAGCCAGTTCTACAGGGAAAAAAGTGCTGGAAAGGACCCCCAAGGAAAGGTGTTAGGTTCAGGAAGTCTGAGGAAGAAGTGGTTTCCAAGAGGCCTGGAAAACCCAAACACCAAGTGAAGATCACCCCCAAGAATGGCCTGTGCCAGGAGCCCAGAGAAGAGGACAAGAAAGCAAAGGGAGGAGAGCCCACAGACTGGACCACCCCAGGTGGGCACCTGCCCTCCTGCAGGCCGGTGCTGCGTCTGTCCAGGGCGACATGCTCAGCAGATTTCCTGGGATGGCGAAAACAGTCTCCCGTTGGGGAAAGGGATCCAGGGCCCCAGCAGTGGACAAACAGGGACAAGGAGGCTATGGCCTGCACAGGTGTCCAAGGGAGACAGGGGACTGGGGTCAGGGGACTCATATTCCAAGGCCAGCGTCAGAGAGTGGAGGTTCCTGTCCTGGCTCCACCTCAAATCTCTGTGTAACTTTGAACAAGGTATGTATCCTCTCTGAGCCTCAGTGTCCCCATACATAAGATGGGGAAAATGTCCCTACCTGTGATGAAAAGGTGACAAATACTCTACCAATGCCAGACACCAAATCCCCACAGGTCCACATGCATTTCTAGACTTTTCTCTGGGGGTTGGTTTGTGCTGAAATAGGGAGAGATGATCAAACATTCAAGATTCCTGGGCAGAAGGGCTCCTGGAACCTCACTGCCACCAGGAGCCGCACCTCAGGCTCTGTGATCCCAAGGATTGGAATCCAGGGAAGGAGAAGCCTGGAGCATGAAACTTGGGGTAGGGTTTTTACTAACAAGAAACACCTTCAGGGCCCAGTTCAATGGCACTATTGCCCCAGCTGAGCCATCCATGGCCTCCTGCACCATGAAATTCCTACATCGCTGACCCTGTGTGCCTGGGTCTCCACCCGAGCACCCCTCACCTGGGAACTGGTTCTGACCCGCCCATTGCTGGTACCACCTCTCTGGGCTGCTCACAGCCGGTGCCCAGCAAGTACCTGAGAAGTAACGGACCGCTCTATACCATCAGGCACCTGATTTGTAGCCAACGTCAGCCACCAGCAACCAGCCTGATAAGGGGATGGCATTTTTAAGCCTTTCTCAACTGGTTACCCAACTGATTCCTCCTGGTCACGGTAACCCTGCGAGGGCAGGTATTACAGCCCTGTCTGACAAACAAGTCAACTGCAGCAAAGAAAGGTGAAGAGGTGATTTGCTCAAAGGCACACAGTGGATATAGCTAGTTGTCGACAGAGCCAGGGCGAGAACCTGAGTCTTCTGACATCCAACCTGGTGCCCATCGCCAGCCAGGATGCCCAGTTATTGCTGGTGTCCACCTGGCTGGTCAGCGCCTGGGCACCACCAGGGGTGACGTATCTTGGACATCGGTCCAGCAGACTCACCCTCCACCCAGCATCTGCTGCCCTACAGCTGCCGCCTGCTCCCGGCACAGGGGGGCCTGCGTGTAATGTGCGGGGCGCGGTGGTGGGAAGCCCCAGCCAGCGCCCACACCTACCTTTGATGACAAACGCCTCTGCCAGCAGCCGCATCTGATACAGGGGCTTATTGTTCACGGACAGGTCATCAATTCCGGCCCGTGCATACATGCTGATGGCATCTCGGTAGGAGCCCTCCACGTAATGCAGCTTGCCCAGGATTAGCATGGCCTCACACATGTACTGTGGCTGAAAGGACAAGGACCGCATTAGTAGGCTCCTGCCCCAGAGCCCCTGCTCCCACCCCCACCAGGTAGGATGAATACCCTCTCACTGAGTCATGACAGTTTGCCTGAGACCCTGCTCAGAAATTTCCTCTTCCTCTAGAAGATGTTCCCTGACCTTTGAGCACATGCCGAGGACTCCCTTCTCTCCACGCCTGCAGTCCATGGCCTACTTATTGAAATTCTCATAGGAGTCCCCAGCTCTTTCATGTGTGTGTCTTATGCACACAGCTATGCTGCAGGCAGTGGGCCTTGTCTTCTCTGTCCTGCAGCCCCCATAGGCTTCAGCCCAAGGTTGGCACTTAGGAGTTCAGGCACTTGTGTGTGTACACACACACACACACACACACACCCCCTCCAAATTATATCAGGCCAAGTTTTATGGGGCCTGATATAATTAGGGGGTACACACACACACACACACACACACACACAATGAGGTGAAAAACCTTGGAAAGTGCCCATGCAGGTGACAGGCCTCAAGCTGAAGGCCCCACACAAAAGCAGGACCTTTGTGGGGAGCACGGCCACATCAGCAGTGTGGGACGTAAGCGGGAAGGAGAGTGAAGGCCTGCTGGGCCACATTTTATAAGAAGCAGGTAATAAAAGCGCACAGTCAAATGCTAAAATTCAAACCTGTTTGATTTGCCTTGCCTTCCTTTTTCAAGAGTTGCTGATGCCCAGATCTTTACCCCATAAAAGGAACCTCAGGCCCTGAGGAGGTCTGGTTGGCCCTGCCCCAGTTCTGGGGCCTTGGACAGGATCTCCCACCTTTTGAGGCTGCTTGCTCTAGCCTGCTGTCTTCATTTCTGTGCTCAGCAGACCCACCACCCCTTTGGCCAGGCTCTGGGCACTGTCCCCACCACACAGCATCGCTTCTGTCCACAAAGCTCCCTGGAGGTTTAGCGCCGGTTCCCACACCAGCCTCTGTCACATAGGAAGGTGCCTCTCCTGACTCCTTGTGGGGAGATCAGACTCCGGGGCACATGTGACAGACCCTGGGGAAGGCTCCACACTCCCCATTATCTACTGCTCTCTCAGAAGCCAAGGGAGAGAAATGGAGCACAGCACAGCCAAATTCTCCTTCCTCATCCACCGGTCTTTTTGGTTTTTGTAAATACACATTCTACCTTGGCCTTTGTTCACACAGGCCCCCTATCTGGAACAGTCTCTGCTTTCTCCCAAGCTATCCAGATTCTCTTCCATGAGGGAGGTGGGACTTTGCTCATGCCCACCTCCTCCTGGAAGTCTCCCTGACTACCAGGGAGCTCCCTTCTACTAAATTCCTACAAGGGCTCTACCAAATGGACCCGTTTGGCTCCTGCAGCCTGATCTGCTGACTATTGATTAACTCTGAAAGGCTGAACTTTTCAAGGGCATTTGCCAGTCTCTCCAGTAGGCCACCCACTCCCTGGGCCCAGGCCATAGATTACACAGCCCCAGGGGCATGCAGCTCACAATCCCTCCAAGACTGGCAACATCTCTGCTTTCTCTCCACTTGGTCTCAAGCCACAGGCACATTTCCTCCCTGCTCGGCCTTGTTTTCCCATTGTGAGGGCAAGATCCTAACGCCCACCCCTCACCTCCCATCATAGCAATGCCAAGAGCATTAATAGGGCAAAGTCCAGAAGAGAGCTTTGAACTTTTCTTTAGAAAGAAGCATGATAAATACAGGGCATGAGTAATTATTAGTATTATCCAGTTCTACCGTAAACAGGGAAAAGAGCAGCTAAGCTCAGAAGGACAAGTTTCGGGGCGCGACGCGATGACAGGGTGGAGCTCTGTGGTTCCTGGTGGACCACGGTTTACACCAGAGCTTCCACCCAGCTGGGGGAAAATTAAGGACAACAATGTGGTGAATGTTTCACAAAGCTAAACCTGTACTATTTAAAAAGCTGCCATTAATCCCAGACACATGTTGGTCTTGTTTTTTTGGTGTCAAGATGTATGTTCTTTTAGGGAGTGACGGTAATAGAAAATAGCACAGCTTTGCTGTTACTTTTTTAATGCCCATATTTGGCAGAACTGAAAGTGGGCTATACTCCGTGGGACCCATGCATCTGAATTTGAGATGTTCTTGGCCTGTCAATCCAGTTGTAGTCAGGGAACCACAAAGCCCTGGCCCTGGCCCAGGGGAAGGATGTTATGCAGGAAGTCACTCAGTCTGGGGAAAAGTCCCTCTGCTGTGGAGCAGGCATGTTACCTAGTCTTCGTGGCTCGGTGTCTCTGTCAACAAAGAGGGAGGAAAGAGCACATGTGAATCCCCAGGTTAGAGGGGAAACAGGTGAGGAAATACTTCACAGAGGCAGAATGGGACTGGTAAGGGCAAGAGCGTCACCATGGCCACTAACATTAATCCAAGTCTCCCTGTCACTGTTTTATCTCCACTCCAGGTGTTGGGGGGCAGTCCCAGGAAGTAGCCAAGAGCACGAGAGCTCAGGATGTGGGGACAAACAGGCATGTACTCAGGTCCTGGACCTGCTACTCTGGTCCTTGGCTAAGTGACCAGCCTCTCCTGGGTCTCAGTCTCTTCACCTGGAAAAAGGGGATACTAGGAAGCACCACTGAGAGGGTCGCTATGCAGCACCCGTGGGATGGTGCAATGGCTGGGCTCAGTGGGTGACAAGTTATGACAAATGGTTCGTTTTCACCGACCTCCACAGAACTAGCTGGGCAGGATCTTAGAGGTCACTGAGAGTAGGTCTCAAACTACCCTGAAGAGGTGCCTCTCCGTTCTCCTCATCCCATCACAGATATCGGGGTACAGGGGAACCCACCTGGGGGTTCACCTGCTGCCAGGAAAAATAACACCCTCCCCAGCCACACCCTGGTCTTTGGGGTAAGACAGAGAATCCCATAAACTACTTTTAATATTCTATTTTGCCTCATCAGCATTATGTTTTTGGCTTTGGCCTGGACAACAGGGACTTTCTCAACATCATCGGTGCCTATGTATGTCTTTGATGAATAAAGCATGGTAGAATTTGCATTTAATAAATGTGATGTGGTAGACAAAACGGTTTTCACAACAATACCTGGGTGTACTATTTGGCCAATACAAAGAATGAGGCATTGGCATGGAGAAAGCTCCAAAGGGAAGTTCTCGGTGCAAAAGAACAGCCTGTCAAATACATATCTTACGACTCTAGTAAGACGAGAAAGCTTTATATGTGTGTATGTGTGTTTGTTAAAAAACAGAGAAAGGAGTGTGGGACACATACCCAATGGTGGCCAGTGCTCAGCGCTGGGCATGGGAATAAGTGTGGGGGCAGGGGTGGCAGACAAGGACTGTGATTTATTATTCAAACTACTTGTTTATGTAGTGGATTTTTTACAATAAGCCAGAACCATCTTTATTTTAAAAATAATTCTTAAATATTTAATGGAGTCTATTGTAAAGAAAAAAATGAAAAGGGTCTTAATGGGAAAACCTTGGGACCCACCGGTCAAGTCCAACACTTTTGATTAGCAGACCAGGAACCGGAGGGCCCGAAAGGTCAGAAACCATGCGCGGGGTCAAGCAGCTATTTTAATCTGACACAAAACCTCCCAGAGCTACAATAATCCCTGTCGAGGACTCGAAAGGCAGTAACCTTAAACTTCCAGTACACTCTCCCTGCGTGGCTTACAGAAAAAGCCAGATGCTTCCCAGTGTGGTGTTCTGGTCCCCATTCTCTGACCCAGTGTAATTGTATAACCTAATTACCCGCCATTCCCCTTCACTCCTGCGTACTGACATATTTTAATGAAATTCTTGTAAGAGGAACCCTTAGATTACACACTGCTCCCTTAGCTTGGAATGCCTTGTCCTATCTCTGAATGTCCACCTCCTTCCCCATTCAAGGTCCAGCTCTCCCCCAAGGGTCCAATTCTAGTGCTACTGCCCCCGAGGCGACTCCTGCCTCACCCTAACGAGTGTTCCCCTCGGACTTGCCTCTGCATGTACACCATGCCCATGGGATGTGTCACAGTCTGTACTGGACATCGTGCTGATACGACTTATCTTTCCAGGAGACCTGCAACCTCCTGCAGGACAGGGTCCATCTGGACTCATCTTTATGGCCCTCAAAGTACATAACACAATGCCTTGCACAAAGTTGGTTGCAATCAAGTGTTTAGGTCAATAAATATATAACTTTAGAACATCTCTTGAAAAATCATATCTTCTCTGGGTCTCTAATGACAGCACAATACCTCTACTATAGCTCAGCATATACTGAAATCTAGAACAGTCTCAAACTTTACTTTGCAATAAATCACCCAGAGAACAGATTAAATGCAGATTCAAATTCAGTTTTTGCATTCCTAACCAGCTTCCAGATCAAACCCAATCTACAGGTGGATGGACTATACTTTGGGTAGTAATGGTCTAGAGAAAGCTGTGATTATGCTTCCCTCTATACCTCCCCTCAGTGCCTGGCATACAGTAGGTGCTCAATAAATGCACTTGGACTTAAACTGGCTTGCCATGTTATTGGGCTCTTTCATCACTGGCCAGCTCTGCACGTCCACCTGTTTCCAACTAGATCTTGGGCTCACTAATGTTTTTGTTCCTTGAGACCCCTAAAGAACACAAGGGATCAGGCACATACTAGGTTAACCAAGCACTGTCTAACAGAAATATAACTTAAGCTGCATGTATAATCTAAGTTTTCTAAGAACATTTACTTGTCACATTAAAAAAGGTAAAAATAGGTAAAATTAATTTTTAATTACATTTTAATACAATTTATCCAAAATATTATAATCTGAACATGTAATCAATGTAAAGAATTAATGATTTTTTATATTCTTTGTTTTGTACTAAGTCTTCAAAATCCAGTGTATGTTTTACACTTATAGTGCACCTCAATTTGGAGTAGCTCGATTTCAAGTGCACATGTGGCTAGTGGCTACTGTCCTGAATAGCACAAGGCCAAACCTAAGAGACACTTGCTGCTCAGGTGACTGAATGACCCAGGAAGACTGACAGCAGATAGCAGGCAGGATAAGAAGGGGGGCCCAGGCTTGAGGAGGCTGACAACTTACTGACAGCTTCCCATGGTTGAGGATACTGCTCAGGTAGTTTCTCGCTTCATTCATCTTCGGCTCATTCTTTTCCAGCAAAGGGATGGAGTCTTTTATCTTGGCATTATTCTCTTTCAAATACTGCTCCAGGAGGGCCTCTGCCAGGAGCAATTTTCCAAAGTCATCTGAAAAACAGGGCAGTGATCCCCTTGAATATGGCAAATGTGGAGACTGGTATATGTCCCTGTGCTGACTCAACCACCCCATCCTAGCATATAAGTGGTCCAGGTTTGAGAAAATCAATAAAGACACTATTTCCATAAACTTAAATAGCCTTAAAGAAAAAACAGGCATTCTACCACTGTACCAGCATAAACCACCCCCCTGGGTTTTGTAGTTTAGCAGTCGGGGAAGAAGAGTTCCTAGGACTTGGGGCAAATTCCCAGAATTCCAGAATTTAAAATGAGGGACAAAGTCACACCCATGCCCCATTGCGGGTAATAAGTTCTTAAACCAAGAAGGAATTTCTCCAAACGACCAAAGAAGAATAAAATGTGAAGCAGTTTAATAATGCATTTTCACATGCTCCCAATTTCCATGTAACCATATTTGGTTTTCTCCACTTTGAAGGTATTTTATTTAACATGACCAGGAGAGAACCTAGGAACCAAGTGAAGAGTTAAGGTGGGAAGCAGGTTTACCCATACAGCAAGGCGATTCCTTGAAGAGGTTTAGTACTGGCACTTTCTGGAGTTCTCTCACAGACATTAGCTTATCTGCAGACCTCACCACCCAGCAGGTGAATTTATATCACTTGGTTTAATTTGCTGCCTCTCCCACCACACTGAAAACTCCAATCTTGTGACCAGTGTATTCCGGCCACCTACAGCCAAAACGGTTTAGGTGGGGATGGGATTCCCGTGTTCAGCGTGCAGGGCCAGAGGTTAAGTGTGCTTTCGTGATAGTCTTGGGCGGCTGTGGTTGATGTGACTGGGTCGTTGACCTTCCCCCTTCAACCAGGGTAAAGGACCAGGACCACCACTCAATAGAGGAGCCCAGTAAATAGCTGCCAAGTGAATAGGATCCTCTTCACCACCAAGGGAGAAAGCCATGAGGCCCAGGGAGTTACATGACAATCCAAAATGTCTCCTGGAGGGTGTGCTTGGTCCCATCTCTTCAGAGAGCTCTTTCTCCTGCCAGGAAAGCATCCTCAGGCTTACCCAGGGATGCCACTAACTCCTCACTCGTGGGACCACTGCGTTTGCTCACAACTTAAAAGTCACTGTCCTAAATTGCATGCCTCTGAAGAAGACTCTCCATCTGTAGGGGAGATTCCAAGCAGAGCACATCCCCAAAGCCCAGATCTCAGAAGACAGTCACAGGAGATTTTCCCCTCCTAGGATGCCAAAGCCTTTTAAAGGATCCTTTGCTATACCTCCCTCATGATTTCTAAAACTAACATTTGAAGGAAATGGCCAGACAAGTACCTGGTTCAAACTATTATCCATTGCTGGGAGAGAAGCTGGTAGGACGTCTATAAAGGCCAATTTAGCAACATATATCAAAATTATTTTTGTATATTCAATTGACTCAGCAATTCTGCTCCTAAGGTGCCCTTGCAGATGTGTAAAGCAACCTACATAGAAGGTCACTCCTGCAGTATTATTTGTAATAGCAGAAAATTAGAGACAACCTGTACACCCATCAACAGGACGCTGATTAAAGCATGGCACATCCATAAAAAGGGAGATCATGCTGTCATAAAGAGGAATGAGGAAGCTCAGTATTTGCTATTATGGAATAAACTCCAAAATAAATTGGTAAGAAAGCAGAGTCCAGAGGTGAACATAATGTGCCCCTGGGTGTTCAGGCACCCATAAAAATACAGGGCCCACAAATAACGCCCCCTTTTTATTACAAAAACATAAGCATATAATTCTGTAACAACAATAGCACACTCAAGCAGACCATATGACACTTTAGGTGAAATGTTCAAACTGCTACCCACCACACTCAATGGCATTACTTCTGCCGGACGCTGTGTGTGAAAGGATACACAAATACCTAATAATCTTGCTGGTTTACTTGGAAAGGGGGCAGAAACGGAGGGAGACTTTTCATCTTTACAGTGGGTACCTTTGGAAGGTACCTTGACCCATGTGGATATATTACCTATTCACAGATAAAAGTTTCAATCAACCCCGGAATGAAAGGCACTCATTCAGCTCAGCCAGAAAAGTTCGGGGTGAGATGCTTCGCAGTGGGTGTCTGAGCAGCAGTCCTGAGAGGTGGGCCTCTAGGCAAGTTGTTCTCCCTCACCTGTTTTGCCTCTATAAAACCGGGGGTGGGGTTAGGAACGTGTTCCTCGCAGGGAACCGCCCCTTCCCAGGCTCTGGGGCTGCTCCCCGCCTTCCGCCCGGGTGTGCGCCAGCGCTCTGCGGCTCTGCGCAGCTAGCTCCCCACCCAGTTCGCAGCAGCAGAGCCTTCCGGCCACCTGGCTCCGCCTCCGCCACCCAATGGCTCCGCCCAGAGCTCCCCTTGGTTTCATCGGCTCCATTCCTTTCATACCGAGAGAAACCAGCTTCCTTCCAGGCAACCCTCAATCTAGAAATACTCCCCAGGGCGCCACCACTCCTCAAAATAATGGGAGTGTCCTCTGAACACTTGCTGCTCAAAGGGTGGTCAGTGGACTGGAACAGGTAGGTCTGTGAGTGTTTGTGACCCCGTCCCTGGAGGTAAGGGCAGAAATTTAGAGTAAACATTCACAAAGTTTGAATAATAGCGTGGCAGAATGATTCTAAATCTGTTGACTCGAATAATAAAAAATTGGAAGGGTAAAAGTTTGTGTACTTTATGAAACTATTGGAGCACATCAGATTGGGAATGTAAAAACATAAAATGGGTCTTTCACAGATCATTTGCACGGCTCTAAACCACGAGTGTGCCTTTTAATAAGAAAGGAGGGAGAAAGAGAAAGGGGGGCTAATATTTCTCAAGGGCCTACTGAGTACCAGGTACTTTACTATATTGTATCATTTAATCAGCACAACGGTAGATCTTATTCCCATTTTATAGATGATAATAAAGACATGCAATGGGTCACAACCCATAACAACATAACACAGCCAAAGAATAATCTGTCTCCCTTGCATCCTATCCTGTGTAGAGCAGAGTTTCTGGTACATTATAAATGAAAAACTTTCTAAGAGCTATAAACAGAAGGGTAAAAGCTAATAGTAATTCCAAGGGCAGGAATGAGAATTGTTTTCATGGTTTTATACCTATAAGCTTCAGACTATTTTGTAAACACTTCAGGTCCTTCTCGAGAGACTTTTTGCCTTCCTCTTCACTGCCCGGCCCCACTCGATCCCTCTGTTTTGTTTAGCAGATAGATACTCAGTAGGTTTTGGGAATTTCTTTTCTTCCTTGCTCAATTCTTCTCCCTGTGCCATTCTTTCTCTCAATCTTCCTATTCTCAGCTGGCCAGTCTATGGTACCGAAGGATATTTTGGAATGAAAAATTCTAGATTTTCAGAATCTAGATTTTTGTTAAATAAGAATCCAGGTAAATAGAGGCTTTCCTGTCCTTCTCCAAAGGTAAACAAATTGTTTTTTATCATCATGTTGTCCAAAATCTGCCCCCTTTCCGGTTTGGGTGAAGCGTTCCAGCCCCCCTGCCCACACCCCAGGAGCACCAGGAAGGCCTTCTAACAGTGAGACAGACTGGGGGCCCAGCCAAGCCCAACTCGGCCCCCTGCCCTTGACAGAGACCAAATGAGGCCACCCCTTAATGGCCACCCAGCCGGCCCACCACCTTGTTTTGAAGACCTCTGTCAGCTGGTCTCCTCTCTGCTCCCACCTCTGTCCAGGCCTCTCTCAGGTGCCAGGTCACAGAGATCCACTTCAAGGATGCCTGCCTCCTCCCGCATCCCCACCTGCAAAAGGTGTTCCCCTCTCCACAACCTGCCAATTTGCTGTCCGGAAACGTGGGTCCAGCCACCAAGCCTGGAGTTAAGACCAGGCCCGTCCTTACTAGGTCACATGGGGTCACAGCGGTCTCCACAGCTGCTCACACCTCACAGGACTGCAGAGGGTTGGAACTTGCCAACCATTGACCGAGGAGGAAGAGGCCAAAAGCAGTGAGAAGCCATCTGCCTCAAACATCCCCTCTAACTCACCTGAAGAAACGCTCAGAACAATCTCCAGTTCAAAAAAAAAAATTTATTCAGTTAAAAAACAAAGGTTGGGGGGAGGGTGGTGGTGAATACAGATTAGGAAAGACTTCAAGATAGAGGGATTCATGAATTCATAAATGGATGCTAATGGTGGATGGACACAAGAGAGTCATTGTCTCTACTACTTTTTGGATGTTTTAGAAATTTTTCATAATAAAGTTTTCTTTTTCCTTAAACACTTGGATGGGGTCTTTCTTTTTACATGAACACACCTCACCACAAACAGCCATACACTGCTCCATCCTGACCACCTCTAAACCGGATGTGAGTCTGAAAGTAAATGTACAAAAAGCAGCAACCACCATCCTCCTGGGTGGGTGGTGGGGAGCAGCCTCCCCAGACAGGAAAAGCCGGTAGGGGCCCCTTCTGAGGGGAGGGTCCTTCCCTCCCACCAGACTAGAGAGAGGCGCCCCCGCCCCCTGCCGTGAAATCTATGTGATCTAGTTTCTGAAGGAAACTCCACAGATACAGCAGGGCCTCAGTCTGTAAAATGGGGTTCAGCTGGGGTATGCGTCCACCCCCCACATACCTTCCTCCCCTTTCCCAAATTATATAAACTGGTGAAGCTTCCAGTCACTGACTGTAAGAGTCTAACAGGCCAGGTGTGTGACTTTTAAGAACCTCCCTCCTGGGTTGCAGAGGGGTCAGCACCAACACCCCTCCCCATCCCAGAAAACAGGCTCTCAATCCCTGCAGTGATTAAGAACTCTGTGGAGAGCCCTGGCTGGGTAGCTCAGTTGGTTAGAGTCATCCTGATAGGCCAAGGTTGCAGGTTTGATCCCTGGTCAGGACACATACAAGAATTAACGAGCGAATGCATAAATAAGTGACACAGCAAATCGATGTTTCTCTCTTCCTTCCTCTTTCTAAGATCAATTGAAAAACAAAACAAAACAAAACAAAAAAAAAACCCCAGGGAGAGAGAACCAAAATGCTCCATGCATGGGCTTTGGGAGGCACTTGTTTTCCTTGCTCATGTGCGTGAGTGCATTTTGGGATACTGTATCCAGATTTAACAGTGGGAAAAAAGTCACTCACAGAACCAAACCCAAAAGTTGGCAGAAGCGCCTCCCCCAGCATCCTTCAGTCTCCCTTGTGCTGGTCAGTTCCCACAGTGAAGCCAAGCCAGGCTTCATATGCCCCACTCTGTCACTAGTGACTTGGTAGTAAGGACTCAGGTTTGGGTACAGGATCTGCCGCATACACATTATGTGACTTCTCTGAGTCCCGGTGTCCCTGTGTTTAAAATGGGGACAACAATTTCTGCCCTTCTCACCGGCTTGTTTACAAAAATTAAAAAATAGAGAAAGCACTTTATACCGTACTATTTGTAAATGATGCCATAGCTTTGTTTCCCAGCAGGGCTTCATAGAATATAGTAAGGTAAGTTTGAGAAATTTGGTATTTATACTTTTCCCTTGGCTTTTACATCACATGCAGGTGAGCATATTAAAGGCCCTGAGAAATCATGCAGTTTAAAACGTCTGTTAATGATTCCATTAAGACCAATTTCTTAACTTGTGTGACTTTCTAAACCCTTTCTTCCTGGGATAGCAATTAATTAACTACTTGGTGTCCCTTGAGACCTCTGAAGACTAGCTTAGGAAATATGGCCCTGTGTGGACTGAGGAGTCCTGGTTCCTGTCTTGGTCCCAGTGTTTCTGGGTAGTGCTAACCTCACTCGGGTTCCTGCACCTGTCCCAGGCCCCAGTGCCCTCTGCTTGGGTCACTTTCCATTCCCCACCCCCTTACCAGACTCACCCCAGCATATCACCCCACATAGGGGAAAGAAGGGAACTTGCAATTTATCTCTTCTTCCCTGAAAAGGGGGGCTCACCAGCTTTTTCTATATATGTACCAGCTCTGGCTACTGCCCCTCACTATAACGCTTAGATCTACCACAAAGATTCAACCCGACTGTCTGTCCCTGCCACGTGGGCCCCCACAGTGTCCTAACCTTTCTCCTCATAGTGCAGACACACTCTGCCCTTCCCAGCACCAGTCAGGGGGGACAGTCCACATTCTGCTACTTCCTGAAACCCTCTCCCCTCCCTCTGAGCTCCACAGTCTAACACACAGGGTCCCTCTGATCACCTCCCTGCCTCCACATCCATTCTGGCAATTCCTCAAGCTGGAATTTCACACTATACATCTTTGAGGTAAGAGTGCAAGTGGTTAAAAGATGTACTGAGAAACCTGGGTTCAAATCCTGACTCTACCACTTATCGGCTGGATGATCAAGACACTTAACTTCTCTGTGCCTCAGTGTCTTTATCTGTAAGTGGGGCAAACAAGAGTACCTGCTTCATGGGGTCATTGGGAAGAATTAATGAAGTGATTAAAGTGCTCAGGACAGTGCCTGGCACAGAGTGAGTACTAGGTAAGTGTTAGTTATTACTATTATTATCATTCCTTCTCCCCCACAGATCCTTCTACAGGCAGCCCTTAAAACTCTATGTCTATGTCTATTTACTCCCTTCCACAGGGCTCTGAAGGGCTCAAAGCTAGAGCTCAGGGAGGGCTCTCCAGGATGAGCTGAAGGCACCAAGGGCAGGATCTGAGATTGGAGACTGGGACAGGGTTTTCCCCCCACTGCCACATCGGGGTGCTTTCCCACCTCAGTGCAGAGCGAGAACCCAGCCTAGCCAAACCAGCCCTACTGCTTAAGCCAGTGCTGCCAGGGCTAGAAGGGTCCCCAGTCTGACCACAAATGAGGAAACTGAGGCTTACCAGGCCTCTTTCACACTTCACCACCCCTCCCCACCCTGGTGCTTATCAATCACTCCAACTAGGTCTCTTACGGACAGAGCTCGGCTGTCAACTTGACTTCAGGGAAGGAGAGCTAGGGCAAGGGGGAGACACACAACCTTCACCTGAAGGAGTTTAAAGAGCTGGGCGGGGATTGGGGGTGGTGGAGGGGCGGTGCAAGAGTCCAGCCCAAGCCCTAATCTGACACGTGCCGATACCACTATTTCACAGTAGACCGAGCTGCCCATATGATCCTAAAGGGCAGAGAGCAAAAGGCGTTTATCTCTCTCCCCCAAAGTACCCAACCTCCATGATTTTTCTCCTAGGCCAGAAGAGCCTTTCTAACTGACCTGGCACTCCTAAAACCAGCACTACAGGAAGAGTAGTACCGAAGACGACCGTCGCGGCCGGGGGGGCAGTCGGGGCGCGCTTCCTGGAGGAGGCGGCGCTTTTCGCGCGCTCCAGCTGGTGAACCAGCCCTTTTCCTCACTCACCGGTGTCCAGAGAAGTGAACGAGGCGCCTGGAATGGCTCGCCGGTGGCTTCCTCCACTGGGCACGACCATAGCCTGCATCTGCCGGACCAGCTCGGGCATGCGGTTCCAGTGGCCCTCGGCGCGGCAGCGCTCAAGCTCGCTCTCTATCTTCAGGTGGGAGCTGTGCGCGCCCTTCGCAGCCATCTTCGCGCGGGTGCTGTCATGGGAGGTGCGGCCAAGAAGGGGAGACCCGGTCGGGGGCGGCGTCCCGGCTGGGGCGCACACGCGGGTGGGGTCGATGGGGGCGCGGACGACAGCAAGGGCCCCGGTGGCAGCGGGGGCCCAAGCGGCGGCGGGCGGGCAGCAGCAGCAGCACTTGGTGCACCTCCCGGCGCCTCCGGGCTGGGGCTCCGGCTGCGCGGCCCGGACGCGTCCAGGAGCAGCCTCCGCCTCTGCTGCAACAGCTCCTGGCGCTGCTGCCGCCGCCGAAGCAGCAGCTGCTGCCACAGCCCCCGCCCCGGGCCGGGGCGCCGCCAGCTGCGGACCCGCCCCTGGCCTCTGCTCCACCCCCGCGGGGGCGTGGCTCGGGCCCGGCGAGCCGGGCGCGCTGGCGGCCACCGTGGCCACAGGAGCCAGGCGCGGGATGAGCACTCTCGCCAGCCCCGGCGCCAGCCCCCCGCCGCACACGCGGCGGACTCGGCGTTCACTTTAATGCTGCGGGGAGCCCCGGCGCCCGGGGGCGCCTTGCTCCCCGCCCCCTTCCCATCCCATTGGGGCTCTTAGCCTGGGAGACCTCCGCCCAGACGTCCCGGCTTTGTGTGGTGGCCCCGTCACCACTGCTGTCCCTGGCACGTCACAAATCCAGGGAGAGGCCGGCCTGTTGGGAGTCCCCAACTCCGAGAGCGAGCCTCCCGGGAAACCTGCTGCCGCCGTCCGTAACCTGCCCTGCTCCGTGCTGGGAACGCTCAGCCCTTGTGCGCGACTCCCGGCATAAGCGGGAGAAAACTGGCCGGTTTCGAGTCCCTCAACTTTCGGGACGCCTCCATTCTGACAGATTTTGTCTTAACTTTTATTTTTTTAATTTTTAACATTGGTGTTCCTCTTTCCAACTTGACTCCCCTACACTAACTGGCTGGTCTGTCCTCTGCAGAATCCAGTTTCCCTGGATTTCTTAAATGTTTTTAAGCTGTTTCTTCAACTTGGTATTTATTTCTTAATTCTGGTGTCTAGAGAGTGTGATCAAAGCGGTACTGAGCCCTTGGCAGGGCGTAGTCAGGCGCTGTGGGGTGCTAAGTGCAAGGATTATTTGGTGGCCTGAAGGCAGGGGGCAGACCAACACCTTTTGCCTGCTACAGGTTGTGGCGGCCCGTCATCGGAGTGACCTCGTTTACAGTTACGTGTAGAGATTGAGGCCTTCACGTAGGAAATCACAGCAAGACCAAACCAAAAAGCAAGCAAGCAAGCAAACAAAACCCTGTATTTAAGTTAAGACTGCAGAAAACAGGAGTCAGGGCAAGCTTTTAAGTATAGACTCCTCAGACCACCCACGTGGGTCTTTACTCCTGCGTGACCTTGGGAGTGCGTTTGACCTCTGGATATTAGGAGGCTGGCTGACGGGCGCTTCTGGACAGCTGTAACTGTGGGAGGGCTTTTTGTCAAGCCGGAGCCGCGGCTCCTGGAGCTTCGTCCCACTGGGCCCTTTGCTCTGGGGCCACATGGGGTTATTTATTGAAGGCCACCTTGCTGCCCTACCCCGGCCTCCATTCCCTTTAGCTACCCTCCTCTCCAGGTTCCAAATGCAGTTCCACTCCTTGATCGGTAAGCAAGATTTCCTCACCTTGGAGGCTGCTCTGAGCACCTGGGGTCTGCTCTGAACTTCAGAATCCAGGAGATAGGTGAAGGAAAATTAGGACAGCTCTGGCAGTTAGAACCTACTCAATACACTCCTCCTTGCCTGCTCCTGTCACCTCCTCTAGCTGGCTTTTGGTTAGTCATCTGCTGGCTGCCCTTGCTAGTTACCAGAACTGCATTTTGCTAGGAGAGTGACTTGTGCATGTCCTTAGGGTGAGGGTGGCCTGAGAACACCCTGTGATTTACCCCTGGTCTGGCATTCCCCACAGCCAGCCCTGGGGCAGGCAAAGCAAAGCAGAGTTGATAAGCAGGAGACAATCTTTATGGAAAAAAGAAAACCTCCCCTCCTCCCTTTTTCCTCCAGTCCTTTGCCAGCCCTGCCCCCAGGTTGCAGGACTCTGGGGATCTAGCTAAAGAGGAATGGCTGTTTGTTGCTCTGACCTGTCCTCCAATATTTGTGTGGGCATGGGTCTTGGTGGGCGGAGCACCCCTTGGCAGGGAAAGCTCTGCTCAGCATTATGGTAAAACTTGTGACAAGCCACTCCTCAGTACTGTGGACCATGTGCCTTCGTGGCTCTTTTCCTGAAGAGGCAAGACCCCAGCCCTCGAGTGACCAACATTTTTCCAGGGCAGTAAGAGACTATAGGCACAACAAAGAAAAACCATGATTGTATTAGTAACATTTGCCAAAACAAAAGGCATATAGAAAGGGTGGCAGTTGTTTTTATTTTTTAATAATCTGAAAACTCCTAGGTGAGCATTTAGGATAAATTCTGATAAAGACTGCTTGGCAACTTGAAAAGGCTACCAAGATAACTTGCTGTTAGGTGAAGTTGAGTTCATCGCTCACCAGAGTGAGGAGAACATTGCCTTGATGTTTTAGGAGCACCTCAGAGGAAATAATGAAGTTCATAGGCGATAAATCAACTTGCTGAGAAATGTGCGTTTTCATAGGGCAACAAAGATACAACATGAGGGACCATCAGGTTTGAAGGGGACCCTAAAACCAAGCCGACGGAAGATGCCACTAGTTTACCTGTTGCCCCAGACAAGGTGGGGAGGCGCTGGATCATGAGAGAGACTGTAGTAAGCTATGGGCCTTTTATTAAAAAAAAAAAAAAAATCTTTATGTATTTGCCTTAGTAAGGAAAAAGTTAACAGAGTAAATTTTCTCCTTCAAGCTTCCATAAAAATGCTGACAATGTGGCAAAAATTTTACAAAAACAGTTTAAGAACAATTAAAGTGCATACAACTCTTTTTTAAAGTTTATGTTAAACGTCCTTCACTAAATAAAAAAGAATTCTGCTTTTAATTTCCAGGCCTTGTTGAGTAATGTGTTGGTCTTGATTCTCATGGTAAGATCTCTCATATATGTATGAGTATTCTTAGAAAGCTTAATGGTATTTAGTTAGGCTGGAAATGGGAGAGTATTGAAGAGCTTGTTTGATCTCACAAGCCTGTTCAGGTTTGGGTTTCCAGAGAAAAGGTTTGGTTACCAAGAACTTGGGTGAGTCAAAAAGTGGTATGGGAATTGCAGGAAAATTGGGAATGTACTGCTTGCAAGTGGCCAGTGACATCCAGAAATCCTCATAATTGTCTCTTAGTTATTGGCGGGTAACCTGTTGCACAGCCAGCTGTCCAGAGTAAGGGGATTACCTCCGCGGGATAAAGCTTGTCTTAGGTCATGCACTTTCCTTTGACAAATTGTTAACTTCTCTAAGAAAGTCATATGATCTCTCTGAGATAAAAGAGTAAGCAGATAAATAAATCTGTCTTAGGGCTCACCTCTTCTTCGCTACAAAAGTGATCATCCACATATTGGATGAGAATAGAATCACAGGGCAATTTAAAGCCCTTGAGGTCGTGGTTGAGGTCAAGCAGAAGGACACCTCAGTAAACTGAGGCATAGCGGTCCAGGTATGTTACTGATTTCCCCTGGAGAAAACAAACAGTTATTAACTTTTGATTTAAAGAAACACCAAAGAAAGTACAACATAGTTCTACAGCTGTAAAACACGAGGTGTCCTTAGGTCCTGAAGATAAAATAGTATTTGAGTTTGGTTCCAAGGGAAGCAGAAAGTGACTTTATCTGTTTCCGTGGGGACCTGAGTGAATCTACATTCTTGCCTATACAATTGGATGTGATATGAAGACTCCTTTCTCTTTAAGGCTTTTGATTATTATGTTGTTTGTTTTTTAAGAAGTCCCCCCGCTTTTAAAAATTTTCTTTATTTTTTTAGAGAGAGGCGAAGGGAGGGAGAAAGACAGGGAGAGAATAGGTTGCCTCTCACACACCCCCAACTGGGAACCTGTTGGTAACCCAGGTATGTGCCCTGACTGGGAATTGAACCAGCAACCTTCCAGTTCGCAGGCCACCACTCAACCCAATGAACCACACCAGCCAGGGCTGATTATTAGTTGTAGTCCTTCTTTAGCATCTTGTTTTAGAAGCTATTGTGCAAGTTTGGGTGGAGGTTAAGGTGGCCCAGTCTGAACCTTGATGGGTTTAGTCTGGTAGAATATCGGTAGAATATCAGAATTGTTTCCCCACAAAGAGCAAACAATTCTCTGTGCTTGAGCTACACACAGAAGTACTGGTAAATCAATATCCAAGCTAGCCAGGACCTCATTACGAATAAGGAGGTCCTCTGGGACTGGAAGGAAGAGATCATCAGGAGAGTATTCGCACAGTAAATCCCTTGCTATTAAATTAATGAGTGTAGTGTCACAAAGGAGAAAACTTTCTTGTGTTAAAGGTTCAAGACTGAAAGTTAAGGCCGGGGTGGGGGCTGCTGGAGAAGGTGTGGTGAGGATTATTAGATAGATGCATGTGCAGGACGGGAGTAGTTTATTGACTCCAAGGAACAGGCTGTATAATAGAGCTTGGGTTTAAATTGACATTATTGTGCCCACATCAATCAAAAAGTTGTAAAGTTGTCCTTTAATTTTTAGAAAAATGTTTCCTTGCAGGCTTAAGGGTAGAATGGGAAATTGAACACCTTCATTTCTTTTCTTTCTTTCTTTTCTTTCTATTCTTTCTCTCTTTCTCTCTTCTAGAGCTCTTTCAATATAGAGCTCTTTCAAGGTTTTGGGGATCTGACCATAATGGCGTTTCCCATTCTGTTTTGCCTTGCATATTAAATTCCCTGTTTCTGGTATAAGGCCATTCACAAAAAGGTAAGAGGGAGAGCCAAGGTCAAGTCTGCTTCAGGATTTATTCCTGAGTGTTGCCCCTACATATTAAAGAATCTGTCCCTGAAGTCTCCATCTGATTTCTCCTTTTTTGGTTCAAAGAACTGAATCAGAGCACAATCTATTTTCACAGGAAAGAAAAAGGATAGTTTCTCAAAGACCTTGACCAATATCTGCAGCTTTTCTAACCCCCTTCTGTCTCCTACGCAATTCAAGGTTTTTAAGTCACCAGTGGAGGTCTTCCAGTTCTGACTTTTTCATTGAACTTTTTGCATCTGGGAGTCCTACTAACATAGGGACTAATTTGGCATATATCTGGATGCTCTGGACTATATATCCCTCCAACTATCCTAAATTCCCCTGTGACATTCTCTGTCTTGTCTAGGCCTTGAAGAGTTTTTGATAATGACTTTCAGCTGAGAATGAAACCAGCGCTTAAAACTCACCATAAGAGGTTTTCTGTGTGCAGAAGGAAGTTTACCTTAAAGAGGTAAGTGAAATTTGGTGTATCTGGCTGGCCAGGAGGGAAGGAGAGAAGGTCAAAGGGAGAGATGGGGCAGCAGGAGAAGCATAGGATTGTTACCCAAAAACATTTGGGGTTCTACTGCCCACCACCCAATAGGCAAACCTCAGAGGCAGAGTTTTGGTGAAAAAGGAAAGGGCCATTTATTCAAAAGCTACACATAATTTTGGAAGAGTGGCAGGTTTCTGCCTTAGAGCCCATTCCCTTTAAAACCCCCAAAGGAAAGCAACCCTGCCACCCTTTGCCAGGCCAGACCAGTCCTAGGGTGCGTCCTGAGTTCTTTCTCCCATTTAAAAATACTGTCCTTTGGGAAATGCAGGCGACTGCAGCATGATCATCCAGGCATTTTAACTGGTTCCCAGTCACAGTCTGGCTCAGGCGTCTTTTGGAGTCTGTGTATGCTGGCCGCCTATTTGCTCCATGCGGCCGGCTGGCCTAGCACCTGCCCTTGTCCCTTTGGCCATAGGCTTGCCAGTGCGTCCATGTGCCTGGCAGAGCTGGACCACTCAGTGCAGTGCCAGTTGCCTAGGATGCTGGCAGACCATGCGGTTTCCGGGGCCCACTGGCCTTGGAGTGCTTGGGCCCCCGGCTGGGTGAGCCAGGGGAAGCGGAAGGACAAGTCTCTGCGTGCCCTCCATTTAAAAGTCCAGACCTCAAAGCCCACGCATGGCAGAAGCATCCAAATTCCCAGCCTAGTGTCCATCACGCTCATCAGCTTGCGCAGCACCTCTACCCCTGTTTTTGCTACCATGTTAACCACAGTACACATGTGTTGTACCCATGTGTGAGCTTTTCAGCCCGCACATACTCTGTATATGCTTCTTCCTGCTATACCAGAAGCTGCTCTGATTTCTTTACCCTTACCTGGGGGTATGGAAGTCTATTACATGGGCAGAGGCTGTGATTTCAATCCCGCCTCCGGTACTTCCTGATTCACTTTGGGATTCCCTCCCTTCTGCCCAGCAATCTGGCCAGATCTCCCCATAAAAGGATGGGGGAAGAGGATAGGAGGTTGGAGTTGTGATTCGAGGGGATGTACAAGATGGATAGCTTTAAGTTTTTCATATTTGGTATTTTCTTTTTTTTTTTTTGCTTTGGCCAAGGAATCTGTTAAGGAATAATTTTGAAATCCAATTTCTTTTGGATGCTTTCTCACCTAATAAAAAAAATAAAGATCATTGGATGTTACGGATTGTGTTCCTTTTTCATTCTAGGCACTTCTCAAGTGAATAATTTTTTTTTCCTATCAAAAGCTCCTTGTAGTGGCCACTGTAATTCTAAATTATCCTGGTGAGTTGATGCTGTTTAGAAAGATAACACAGATTTGGGCCACAGCATAAATACATGTAAGAAGCAGAAGCTGGCCCCCAGTAAGTCATGGGCTGAGGTTTATACTGAGTCTGGGAACGGCTGGCTGAGAGTTACTTATCACTCTTGTGGCTCAAGGACCACCGCCCACCCCCAGCCCTGCCCCATCTCACAGCTAGACCTTATCCGACCACAGTTCTGATGAATGCAGAGTTCCCAGCAGATGGAGGATGTTCAGAGATTTCTGCTGAATCAAACTCTCAAAGACAAAACAAATCTGAGGAAAGTTCTCATAAGGTGTTGATAGTGCCTGACAAACTTAGTCCCTAGGACAGCTTAGGGATGGACTTACTGGCACCACCTGTCCTCTTCACAGTAAAGTCTTCTCTTCCAGATGTACCACAGCATATGACCAGGATGGACACTGACAAGTAACAACCTTGTTAATAATAAGGCAGCTATCCACTGAGGAGAAAAGACTTTCAAATATGGTCAGATAATCAAAGGATTCCTAAGAGGTGTTCCTTGTTGCTAGGGGACAAAATAGACTCAGTGTTTGGGCAAGTCAATAAAAATAACAGTTAAAAAAAGAAATTGCTACTTGGGCCTAATACAGCAGGCTTTTCATCCCTCCCTGGTGTGGAAAGACCACTTCCAGGAGCAAACTGTTTCTGAGTCAGGGGTCTTGCACCACAGTGGTGAGATGGTCTCAAGTGCATCTCGATGGGCCTCAATAATCAAAGACTGGCTCCCTGAAAATATCATGGAAACAACTTTGTGATAAGGCAAAGCTGAGTTTGTTCCCATCCCACGAAGGGAGAACAGTACCCTGTAGAACCATAACAGCATCTAGAAGGCGGGGGTGGGGGGGTGTGGTGGCAAAGGGGAAATGTATGAAGTGTTGGGGTCTATTTTAAGGTGGCTCTTCCAATGATGGGACATGTTTAGAACTGGGCAAGAATCATGAACAATAGTTGCGGATTGTTGGGCAGGGCAAGGTGGAGGTTTTGAGGCAAGAGTTTTAAAAAGCCTTAGAGAATAAAGATGCAATGTATTGAAAAGTTGCAAAGTTCACTTAAATGGTTTCTTCTTGACATTTCTGCAAAAAACAAAAGTTAGTTACAACTTGTCTCATCTAGAGCAAGAGTTTCCTGCAATAGTAAATTCATGTTAGTGTCAACAGTAAATTGTTTGGGTGTAGATGGTTTTGGTTCTTCCTGTGTACTGACTCAACGATGTATTATATATGTTATTAGAGCATCCCCTTGCTCCTATCAGATCACTTTCATTTGTACTGGTTGTCTCAGTGGCCATGGGTAGGAGGCCATCCACAGGTGGAGACGGCCTGATGAGATGTCTCCCCCACCTTCAACTCCAGCCTCCTCTCTCATACAGTTTTATTTGCCATTTGGGGTCCCCAAGAGCCCTGTGTTCCCAACAGGAACCCTAAAAATCCTAAATTTGAATATGACTTAAACCTCTATTCATAGTCAACAGTCTTTCATCCACTCCTTTCAGCAGTGTATGTGATGTGGAGCACAATGACAAACTGTCTTCCCAAACTTCTGTAGTCACATGGCCCACAATCTTTACATTCAGAATCAGCTTTTACTTATTACCATGATTATTGGCTCATAGCATTTCTGGCCATGAGGTCTCATGTCTTAGCGGATTGTCAGTGCGGTGGACTAGCCAGCTCTATGGTGACTCTTTCCCTTAACAGCTGCCAGAAAAACTGGGGATAATCATTAGGTAAGGGACAAAGCCCTACAAAGCCTAGCTTCAAAGCCATAAATTCTTTGTGCTTGTGCATAGTAGACACTTAATAATTATTTGGTATGTTGATTTTAGAATCCTAGAATGTTAAAGGTTTTCCCAGGCCTGGGAGATGAGAACTCTGCTGTGTCTGCCATCCCCACCCACCTGCTTCATGGTTCTGATACCAGCACGTCCCTCCATGCACGGACCACCCACCCATCCTCCCATTTCCTTCTGTTCCCCCAGGGTCCCTGGTGACTCCTACGTCTCCTTCGTGGCTTCTGTGTCAACTTGCAGGACTGCTGCAGTGGTCCCCTCCAAGAGTGGGGAACCACGCTTCCTGTCCACCTTGGCCACTCACTACTGGTTCTCTGCCCAGATGCTGCCATTCTGGGGGAGAGAAGTCAGCCCAATGCACCAGCACTCAGAGCTCACCTGAGCTGGTCTGATTTGAAGCTCCCCCCTCAACTTCTAAGACCTCCTGAGTGTCTGCCCTTCAATGATTATACCAGTTTTAGGCCTTGAACAGTAGCTTTGTTCCATCTGCTTTTCAAATCATTTAATTCTTCTTTCCTATCATTTAAAAAACATTTTTGTTGTGAAAAAACACAATTAAAAGAAAGTATATAGAACATAGCTATTATAAAGGAGGGAGAGGAGAACAAGGCAGTGCAGAGGACCTGTTCCCTTGACACAGGAACCTTTGCCCCAGGGAGGCGCTGCTGGCTTCCAGCTTCAGCCACCCTGCCTGACTGCGAGGGCCCGCGGCTGCGCAGTCTGCTAGAGGAACGCAGCGCCGTCCCCTCCACCCAGGCCCACACTCAATCCCCTGCGTGGTACCCAGCAGTTATTCAGATGTCTATGTCCATCACAGTGAGCAGGTATAGGGAATAGATGCTTCTGTTAGACCCGTCTGGGCTGGGCTTTCCAAACTACTCAGAATATCAGAGAAAAGGTTCTGATTATGAAGGCTAAAGGGTATGTGAGATGTGGAGCAAGTTTACAGGGACATGGCAAGAAAAATAAGACAAACTACACAATAGTGTTTTACAATAAATTCTCTGCTTAATCTTGTATGGGGAAGGGTTGTTTATTAAAATCTTGGCAAGTCTGATAATAAACCTCTAGGATAACATCTAATATGGACCTGCTTTATCCTCCTTGTCCCCTACTCTACCTCTAAGTGCTAGTGGATGAGCCATAAGTTAGTACAGAAAGGTTCATATAAACATTCTGGATGGTTCTTTGGCTACATAATCCTTCTTCCAGAAGGATTATTTTCTATCATTCAAGCCTTTACCCTTTCCTGAAAAAAGAATGCTCTGTGAAAAGAAGTCCCTTTTAATTTTAAGGTGTTCCTTTTCTCATGTCCAGGGTTGTCCTTGAGTGTACCATAGACCCTGGGAACACTTGATCCTAACCAGTTCCAAAAAATAAATGAATCAATCAGTGACTAAACAGAGGGTTTGAACTAATACGTAGAGTAAACACTGTGGCCGGGAAAAACTCCAGAATAAGTAACTACCTCTTTTCTTGTAGTGGCCATGATACTAAATAGTGACGTGTCAATTGAAGTTCTGTAAATTAAATCTTATTACAAAGGCAGAAATGACCATTATAGAAAATCCCCTCTATAAGAAGAGACTTTCATAATGTGAACAGCCAGACTGTAACCTATAGATTATTGTGTTTGTTTAGCTAATGACCTCTGTGTGTCCCTGTCTTGTGACTAAACGCCCAGGTGGGCCAGCTCAACTCTCACCTACTTGGTGAAGCCTCTCCCTGCCACCCAGGTCTTACAATTCATGTTTTTTCATCCCTGTACCCAATTTTAACATTGTCTGTGTCCCACATTTCAGCTCTTTTCAATATTCAATTCCTGCAATACTTTTTTTTTTTGA